AGCTTGGCCAAGAGCAAGGCGAAGATGTACGCGGCCAAGAACGGGCTCTACACGATCCAGAGCCAATCGGACGAAAGCAGACACAGCGGCAGCCGGCGCTCGAGTGTGAGCGGCGACCTCAAAAACCCTCCGGGAGGCAAAAGGCGGGTGGGTTCCAATCTGGAGGACTCGCTCGGGTACCTGCCGTAGGCTGTCCGGACGTTCTCCTTCTCGGGGGTTTGTCAGCGACTAGTTGGGGACTGGAGGATGCAAAGCCACCCAAGTAAGTCCTCAACTGGTCATTTTTCATGCTCTAAACCCTCATCAACGGATGCTCCTGGAGGGTGTTTGTCAACATTAGCTTGACGGTCTTGACGGACACTCTCTGGAGGCCATCCAGTGGTTGTGGGGGGCGACTCTTTGAGTCTGAAATGTGAAGGAGGCAGCCGATGGCGGAGCGTGAGATTGTGATAAAACGACGTATTTGGGCCGAAATTTGCCATACTAGGATTACTTTGGGTGCAATAAAAGACTCGTTGGGTAGTGCAATATTTTTAATTTTCCCCCAAAAACCTCGACCTGCGCGCCTACGCTTTGCAAAGTTTGTTTTGTCTTCTGTGTGGCAGACGCTCCGGTGCAAGTCTGACGAACTTTCGCCCACACAACAGGAGAAAACGGCCCCAGTCTCGCTTGGTGTCCAGAAGAATTGAGGCGAAAATGGGGTCGTTTTCCCTCGATGCTCCCCTTCTAGAGCCCTGGATTAGAGCAAGTCTAGGGCACACTTGCTGCCACACCGCACTCGCTCTCTTCCAGGGCAGTTGGAAGCTTGGGAAAGCTCTCCGAAGACACACAATTTCCCATCACCAAATGAATTCGTCGCAAAATGTGTCGAGGTTTTTGGTTTTTGTGGTGTTTGTGCAATATTAATTTAAGCTATCGATAACAATAAATAAAATAAAAAGTGAAACCACTTGTTTAATTGCTACCCTTCTAGTTAACGCGTATTCACACGGTGACAGTAATGTCAGAGTGACATCTAATTTCTTGACAGCAGCCAGTAAGGGCGGATCCAGGGGGGGTCATGGGGGNCCCCCCCATTAAATTCTCTATCCAACGATGCCAAAACGAATTCTCTGGCTCGAATGGTTCTTGAGAAACTTCGAAAAAGGCAGCGTCATGTTCAAGTGGATTTTGCAACTCATAGAAAACCATGCAAATCTAAAACTTCTTGAATTCAAGCATTTTTTGAGAAAACTGCCAACATTTCCCCATCCATGGTTCACTTTCTAAAAAGGTCATTTATTTCTCTCTAGAATGATGTACAAATGAGCGTTCTTGCTCATTTTGCCTCTGAGATATGAGCAAAAACGGGACGGAAAACATGGAATTTTGGCATAATCTTGCACCTAAGTGTTTGATATTCAAATTTCGCTTTCTGGGTCAAAACTAC